CGCTTCCTCCAGTCTGCCTGCGGAGCTGAGGCCACAGCCAAAGTCGGATCCTGAGTCCAACAGAGCAACTTGTAGGTTATTGTTGGTGTAGGTCAGGTCAGTGTAGGTGCAGTGTAGGTGCTTTCGACTTGATTTAAGGATGCTTGATGTGAGCATGCAGCTTCGTGAGCTGGAGTTCCAGGCGATGCATCCAGCATTTGCAAGGTTCGTACACTAGAAGTATCGCTGGATGGAGAAACCTCCCTCAAGGTTGGATGAGCGTGGGAATGCAGTAAGTCTGGTCCTTCATAAGAGCATTTATTCATCAAGCCCCAACAGCACGTGGCCTCGCCGTCCTCTGTCTTCACCGAGGCTTCGTGTCCGGTGCAGGACGACGGGTTGACCGACGAGGAAGTTGGGTGCCGCAAGGAGGTGGATGAGCACCTCAGCTGCGGGAAGGGTTTGGGATCTTCGAGCTTACGACTACATTGCCAAATGGCTGGGTAGGAGCCGACGTGCTGCAGGAGTCAGACACACAGCAACTTGCACAGGCTTCAGGATTCAACGTTCACTTCCAATTGCTTGCTGTATACCTGTATGCACATTGAGGAAGATGCTTAGACTAGTAGTCGTTGTGGGTAGTAGCAGTCGTGTTCGTCGTAGTAGTCGCAGCCGTAGTAGTTATCGTCGTCTTCGCAGTCGTCCCGATCAGGTAGTAGTGGCAGCCGCAGTCCTTGTTGTCGTCATCGTAGTAATTAGTCTTGGTGGTGGTGGTGCTGGTGGTACTGATGCTGGTATAGCAGTAGTATTAGCAGCAGTAGTAGTAGTAGTAGTAGTAGTAGTAGTAGTAGCAGTAGTAGTAGTAGCAGTAGTAGTAGTAGTAGTAGCAGTAGTAGCAGTAGTAGCAGGATGTAGATGATGGAGATGCAGTAGAAGACGTAGAAGTAGCAAGAAATGACGAAGAAGTAGTAGTAGCATTAGCAGTTGTCGTAGGTTGTAGTCCTGGCCGCAGTCGTAGCCGTGGACGTATCGTCCTAGTCGTAGTCGTCGTCGTTATTCTCGTCCTCGTCCTCGTGGTCGTCGTCGTCGTCGACCTTCTCGTCCCGGTCGTCGTCGTCGTGGTCGTAGTAGCAGTGCCAGTAGTACTGGTCGTAGACATAGTACTTGTACTACAGGTAATAGCAGTAGCAATACTAGGAGGAGGTAGTATTGGCACTACTAGTCGTACAGGTAGCAGGACTACACGTAGGAGAGGCAGGAGCTCGGACATCGCGGTTGCACGACGCAGTGTCCATTGGAACACGTTACCTCACATGCTGTTGTTTCTCACAGACGGATTCGTCGGTATCTGGTCAAACTTAGGCAAGTTTGCTGCCCAGCTGCAAGTATGATGTGCATGGAGCTGAGTGTGCTTCCCTGTCTGAATGAAGGTCTTAGCCATACCGGTGTCTATGAGACCTGTGCAGACAGCAAAAGTTTATCTGTGAAAAGCGTCAGGCTATGCGATGCTCAGCAGCTTGGACTGCAAAAAGTCACGAGAAAGGATGACAACAGAAGCCCGGGCCTGGAACACGCATTGCAACCACATCTCGATTTTGAGGCAACTGGCGAGAATGCGTCTTGGGCGTCGGGCTCTATGTTCACCCGAGGAGTCGAGTTTTTAGTTCGGGGGTTTCATAAGCATAGGCTGCGGGTTGTCGGACAAGCTCTGACCTCCGGAAACCTCCCCTAAACCCTAAGCCCCAAAGCCGCAAGATATCGAGGCCCACAGAGGCCCACTTGAAAGCCGGAGGACCCTCCGTGAGCGACGTGCACGCATCCCTCCGGAAGTCGACCTCGCGCCTTTCTGCAGTTCAGTAGACAAGTATTCGGAATGGAGTACGTGGCGCGTATGGCGTTGTCTCTAGGTTTCACGAGGGTGGGCTTCATAGTTGAAGCCCCGCCCCAGAACTCCACAGTGCAAGAGTGTCGTGCTAACGAGATCATGCCCGATCATGAGGAACAAAGAAGTTGCTTCCGAGGTTCTGGACTACGTGTCCGCTGAGGCCTACAACCTGGGTGTTCGCAGCTCCGTGCAACAAGGCGCCAGCTCGAGGGATGTGTCGTGCCTGGGAGGCCGAGGGTCCTCAGTTAGGAATTATTTGCAGACTAAGAGGTATCAGAATCCGAATTGCAGACTAAGCGGTATCAGAAGCCGAATAAAAAGAGACTTGCAAGCTCATGTTGTACTCGCGGCCCAAGTACGCTTTCACATCATCTTTCAGAGGTTCGAGGGTTTGCGATCTTTTCAAGCTCCTCGATCTCCCTGCTGGCTAGCATCTACACCCTCCACTTCAGTGATGACTTCGTTGTGATGCTGTGTGTCAGTATCAGATATTCAAGATGTCGTGGCATTCGGCGAAAGCTTCCCAACTCCGCTTGACCCTGGGACCAAGGCCAAGCTTCCGGAAAGGCAAGACGTTCAAGCCCTCAATGATACCCAAGCCGCGAGCTTTATGACCCGGAGCCATAAATGCTTCACGCCCGAAGCTGTGGAGGACCTGGCTGGGACGAGGAGGAAGCCCAGGAACAGGCGGAGGTGCTCAGGCGGGTTCTCGTGACGTTGCTGCTTTGGTTTTGATTGCTGTCAGAATGGCTTTTCATTGCTGTAACTACTGCGGGCTGTTTTCGAAACCGCAAGAGTAGGACGACGACGACGACGACGACTACCCGCTACGATTACGACTCAGCAGCAGCAGTCGCGGTCGCAGTGGCAGTGGCAGTGGCAGTGGCAATGGCAATGGCAGCAGCAGCAGCAGCAGCAGCAGCGGATTTCCGATCGATCAGAAGTTTGTGAACTGCTCGCTTTCTTGATCTCGGGTTCCAGATTTGGAGGCGTGCGCTTGGCATCTGGAAGTGTGGGGTTCCAGTTTAGTTTTTGCTACCGAAAGCTTGTGTGGGAAGCCTGTTTGAACTTTGATCTTTCAGGTTCAGGTGGAGTTCGAGTGCAGGTGCTTCGTTCATGCAGGATGTGCATGTTCCTTGGGTCGGTCAGCAGGCATTGGGGCAGGAATGATTTCGTGTGAGTTCACCTTTGGACAGGTCCACAGTGAAGCGTCGCAACTCGGCGTGTGAGAAAGACTTCGTGCTGGAATATGCATGTTCCAAGGTTGAGACTCAGTGCTTTCTTTGGAAATTGACTCTGAGGTATCAATGCATGGCTCCCTTTGTGTCTTGGTAGCAATAGCGCTTGCGCACCAGCATGTCCAGATACTTACCTCCTTTGGTGGCAGTTTTGAGCCCCTGGCTTGAACATGCGCGGCTGATGTAGTTTCCAATATGCAGTGTGCGAATTGTGGTAAGCGAGTCTTGATGGTCCTGCGAAGGAGTGGCGTTCCTTGTGCCCTTGAACCTTTGCCCCAGGTACATCAACTCGACGAACTGGGCGGTTGCAAAGACCTTTGCCCCATCTGCATTCTCCCTTATTGCAACGCCGCGCGCCTGTCGTTCGTTTGGGTGGATGCTTTCAGGATGCTTACAGGGCTGGCCAGCTGCCCTGCACTGGAAGCAGACTTGTGGTTCTCTTGGTTTGCTGTGTGCGTGTGTGCTTGTTTGCTTGCTGGCTCGTAGGTGTGCTTCTTGTTGTGTGAGAGTGTGTGCGTGTGTGTTTGTGCCTCAGTCTGCTTGCAAGTTCGCATGGGAATCGGCCTGTGAACATGCTGGTGCAAACACATAGCCGACAGCCAGGGCCGAGACACACCAACGTGTATATTATGTACGCAGGCTTATAGTGCGTGTATTGTATAAACTGATTGATTGAAGTTTATATATATATATATATATGTATATATGTTGAGTTTATATGTACCAAATATTTGTATGTGTGCAAAAACGCAGGCTTGCTGTCTATCTCTCTCTATCTGTCTCTGAAGTCCTCGCAGGTTAACTCAGTACTTGAGGATCCCTGAGCACTGGTCCTGCCGTCCGACCCAAATCGCCCATCTGAGGGAGGGCTGGAGCTAATCACACGCTTGATGGAAGACCCCTTACAATGTGAGATGCTGCTAAAACGTCACCACATCTTTCTACCCCCTGGACTGGGATCTTGGAGACATCTGCGTGTGCCCAGGCAGCTGAATACCTCATTTCAGGCAGGTGATGCACTGCACCTTGGCTCCGGTGTAATTGATGTCGGGCTAGACAGGGTTTTGCTCAAGGTACATCCTTTTGAACTTTGCTTCTTTGCGTATTCGTTTGTGCAGTTGGTCGCTGTGTATTGCTAGGGTAGCCATTTGGGAATGAGAAGACGGCAGACGGAAGCCCAGCTTCGGGTGTCGGGGCAGTGTTGTCAGATGTTGTGTGCCCAATGTCTTTCTGTTAATCTTCCTTTTGATTTCCATAGTCATTACGGTTCTTACGAATGGGTATGGCAACGACAAGCGTTCCAGCACACCGTTGGTAGTCCTCCTGCCCCTTCTGCAAAGTCTTGAGACTTAGACCGGCAAGCTGTCAGCTGCACCCAAAGTCGGGAAGGGCCGCCTTCCACAGCCACAGTGTCAAGATGTCAAAAGCCCCAGTCCCTAAACTTCAAAGTGGGGTTTTCGGCTTCGCAGCCCTAGGGTCTAGATGTGAAAAGCTCACCATGCACAGTGGCCGCAAGGAAAGTCTGCGCACGGCTGATGTGCTGCGCAGTGGTCGGCTTTTCAGCAGCAAGCTTTCGAACATTCAAGCGGCATATGCACTCACAACATCAGTACTGCTGCGCAGTCTAGCAAGCAAGCCTAGTGACCTAGACCTAGTCACGGCAAGAGATGCAGCGACCTATCTGTCTGTCGTCTGCCGTCTATTCGCGATTGTGTGCCCCGCACAGTGCAAGACTTTGGAGATGCATGAGTTTGAATCTTGGGTTGCAGGTGTGGGTCCCTGGCACTTGCATTGGTTTCTTGGAGACCCCAAGAACGCGCAACGATTCCACTTGTTGTCCTATCTCCCCAAATCCCACCAATGCTAGCAGCCAGAAGCCGATGGTCGGGTCGGGTGAGGTTTCGTCCGTTCGCCGGACACCTGGGAGCGCGCCCAGGCCTCCGAACGATCTGCGACTTGGCCCTGGCTGGTCCTTTGATTCCTTCTGTTTGGGGCTTCAGGCCGGGGCTTCAGGGAATCGGGTTTCCGTAGATCCAGCATGACAGGCGATCTCGGCCCTGTTTTTTGTGGGGATGGGGATGGGGATGAAGCGTTCAGAGCTGGGCGCTGAGGTTCAGATGTACTGCGACATCCACCGGCTACTGTTGCAGTGGCTCACCCAGTCCAGGAATCAGTAGCTGCGTGAGATCTTGCGATGAGTTGCCAGAACGGTCTATAGTCCAGTACGCCTCAAAAACAGCAATGTTGACCGATAGGCTGTTCTCCGAAGGAGTACTCTTTGTGTTTTCGCAGCCCTGACAGCAAGTCCTGTAGCCAATCAGACATTGAAGCATCCAGACTCGAAGCCCTGAACAGCAGATCCATCGAATCGAGACAGCCCTGGGAACCCAATCCTCTACGTAAGAGACTTCAAGGCCAAAGTGGGGCGGGGGGGGGACCGAGGATGGCACAGGACTATCCCTCCATCCAGACAATCGCCCGTGATCAGGCCTGGCCAAGAGGCTTCAGGCTTCCGGTTGGCTCAGTGCATGGCTGTATCCTGGGCCTCAGGCGAGCAGAAACGCAAAAACCCTTAACCCCCAACCTCAAACCTCCTAAAAACCCTGAACCCTAGAACTCTGAACCCCAAGCCGTAAACCCAAAACCTTAAAGACCCCTTCCTGCGGCCCTAAACCCGGAACGACGTTCTGGGCACTTGTTTCGCTGCCGGGCTGAGAGGTCGAGGGCTTCATCTCGAGACCAGAGATGCGCACGAGAAAAGGCCGGCTCTCGCAAATTATGTTCTAAACATATCATGAGTACTTAGTATTCGTTATTGTGTATACATAATATATGTATGTGTGTATATATATATATATGGGATTCGGCGAAGAGTTGCGGGTCCGATCTGCTTTGGAGGAACAGAGGGTGCAGTGATGAGAGAATGAGCGGGACTCCTTTGGCAAACCGGGCCTTAAAACCCGGAGCACCTCTGCAGGAACTTCGGACCTCGGCTTGCTGATCGTTTACTTGCGCCTCGGTGAAAGAGCCGGGATGTTTCCGTGAGCCTAGGATTGAGGTTGCGCCAAGTTTAGCTGCATCGTTGAGATGTCAGTCTGAATCTCAGGAGTTTGGTGGACGACGTTCAGTGGTCAGACATGTGGCATGTTTTCGTTCCGGAAATGGTTCGACGAGCCTTTGCCAGGCGGGGTATTCGAGCCATCTTGCAAGAATGTACAAGAGGAAATTACAGAGAATGAGTCGAGGCTGAGAGTTGAACTAGACAGTGCCGAAATACTGCAGTCGCCATAATAATGTCCAGCCAAAAGGCTTGCGGCATGCTGCAGACACTTCCTCACCGAAAGCTGTTGCCACACCGGAGGATGCCCGAAGCATTCCAGCCCGACGAGTGCGACTCCCTGCAGGATATCGTGCGGCGGGCCTGAGTCTTAAGCTGCTGCTGCTGCTCCTGCTCCTGCCGGTACCTCTGCAACTGTTGCTGCTGCTGCTGCTGCTGCTGCTCTGCTACTGCTGCAGCTGCTGCTGCCACCACGACGACGGCGCCGTTTACGACGACCACTACCACCAGCACCACTGCCACTACTGCCATTACTGCACTATAGCCAGTACTGCCACTGCTGCCGCTACTGCCACTACTCATACTGCTACTGCCACTGCCACTGCCACTGCCACTGCCACTGCCACTGCCACTGCCACTGCTACTGCTACGGCTACTGCTACTACGGCTACTGAGGCTGTTACTGCTCCTCCTCCTCCTCCTCCTACTACTACTACTACTACTACTACTACTACTACTACGACAACTACTACTGCAACTGCTACTGCTACTGTTGCTGCTGCTACTGCTACTCCAAACTCCTACCCCTATTCCGACTATTCCTACTGCTGCTGCCGCTGCAGCAAGACTGCGGTCATAAGTAACTCAGTAACATGGGAGTTCGGAAAATTTACAGAACCGGTCTGTGACACAGGAGCTCGTCGAACGCTTTGACACCCTTGAGCCTGAGCACGGACGCGCCCCCTGGCACCGATTAGCCAAAGCTGACATAGATTTTGTCAGCTTCGTGTGACGATCGCAGCTCAAGGAAGTATTCCGCAATCCCCACCCACCAGCAACGTCAGCATCTAGGACTAGGACAGTCCAGGATACGACAGTCCAAGAGAGTGGAACATGTACAGAAGTGCAATATTTCTGCAAAACATGACGGAAGATTTGGCCAATCCCAAGCTCTGACAGTCGTCACAAAAGCCGAGGTTATTGCTTTCTTCCTTGTCTTCACCTCCATCGTGTCCAAGCCGTCCAAGTCTAAGCTGACCAGCTGGCATCCATGCATTGGGGCCCAAGTGTGAGCAAGGATCATGTCACGCTGCGGAATTGTGCGATTTGTGTTGTTCGGGCCTGGCTTGGTTCGACTGACTGCGAAGTAGCCTGATCTGTTTGCTGGTATACATCCTGGATGGCAGAGTCAAGCTTCCCCAAAGCTGTGATGTTATTTCTGCCGGAGGCAAGATGGCCCAGCATCCGGCAAGCAAGCTTTCGCGGATGTCTGCAGCATGTGCTTCGGCAGGGGCATGGGTATGCAATGGTCTGGGGGCACTTCAGCGGTCGCAAACTCTCGTTCCGGCATGTGGAGTGAGCTTTCTGGGCCATCAAGAGATCGTCGCCATAGCATACATCAACTCCTGCCCTCGGTTCGCTGTTGTCTTTTGGCTGTGGGAATAGACCAGCTCAGGTACGACCGCCGTTGGGGCCAGCTTCCAGCAGATCGTCGAAGCGAGGCAGAGACTCAGAAACTTGGTGCGTCGCATTCTTAAACATACAAAGGAATATAGATAAACACATAAATAGAAAACGAGTATATAAATAGATAAATATATATATATATATATATATATATATATGTATAATATAAGTAAGTGCAGGCACCGTGAGACGGTCGAAGGAACACCTAAGGCATCAATGTGGCCGGACGTCCAATTTGCAGCTAGGTGACGACTATGGGTTCTCGCATGAATGTCGACTCTCCATGACAGGTGCTGGCGGACGTTACCAGGATTTGCAGATGCAAGTCCGTGAAGGCACGCTGTGGTTTGCGGCTACGCCAGTCGACTAAGTTAGGGCCCCCAAAAAGCACATAAGCAAAAATTAGGATAGGGATATCCCATATAAACCCCCTTATAATGAAGCCCAATAATGTAGGGATATCCCTATAAAATGCTTATGCTTATGTGCTTTTTGGGTTCTTAATAAGTACCTCGACAGGAGGTCTTGGCCGAGTTGATGCCTACGGCACCCAGCGAGGAAGACCTTGCCGAGCTCCTGTTGCTCGGACACGCAAGAATGGGGCTTTCCAAAAATGATAGGGTACCTTATTTAGGGTCCTTATAATAAGGATCCTACTATTTACAGTGCTATATTAGGGTCCCCTATTTTCGGAAACCCCCAAATCTGTTCTGCTTCAGGGGGGGGGGGGTTTGGGGCTTCTGGGCTTAAGTTTCTGTCAGGGTTTTTGAGCATGTGCTCGGAGGTTTAGGCCTAGGCTTTTTTCTTGAGGTGTTTTGGTTGAGGTATGTGAGAGGAAAGCTATGTAATTAGGACAGTATTAGGGCATACTGGACCCAGGTTTTTTGTTTTTGCTGGAGAGGAGGTGGGTGGAGTTGCGGTTTTAGAGGCTTGTCAGGTTCTCGTTCTAGGGTCGCTTTTTGTTTGGGGGTCCTTTGAAGGTTGTAAATTGCGAGCCCAAACCGGCACCGGTTAGGGCCGTCGCAGCCCTACAGGATCATGCGTGCGTTTAGTAAGTACTGCTCCCGGCTGCTTCTGCGACTGCAGCTGTGGCTATACCTACTGCAACACGGACCATGGATCTGTGCGTTTCTGTCATGATGCATTTCGGGGTCTTTCGCAGGAGGACTGCATGCAGCCTAGCACGAATCACAACTCAAGCTGCCATGGCTTGCACATTCTTGCACAGACATGACAACATGAGACGTTGTCACTGCGCTAGCACACACAGACGGTCGAGACATTTGTTTACTTGCGGACACATCCCCGAAGCAGCTGATTATGCAGAAGCACAGCATGTCCCTTGACACTTTACAGTCAATGACAGTCTAGTTGAACGTTCCACAGGCTCGCAACAGCTGCAAGCGAGGCTTGTCGGACGTGCTCCCTCCCACCGAACCCCTATGACGAATTCACTCAACAATGGCTCAGCTGGAGCAAAGGCGGCAAAGCTGAAACACCATCGATTAGTCAATCCCCGCCCCAAACCTATAACAAACCTATTAAGGAGTTATTGATTGCATCAACAGCACACTGCTCAGCCTAGAACAAGAGTGAAGCCCTTGGTGTTTAGGGTACTTGTCGGCGACTGCTTCTTCTTGATGTGATCCCAGCATAGGGCTTAGGGTTTAGGTGTCACCTGTAGTGCGTGGTGGTGACATTGATTATCTCCTTCCCTTACTACATGTGCAGACTTGGCGAAACCTTCCGGAGCCCTTTGCGGCGGAAGGTGACATTTCTGCATTCTGCGTGTTCCACCTGGTCCAAGGCTGTGGGCCAACAAGAACAGCCACAACGTGAAGGCTTTGGAACCGAGGAAGAGGGCCCCTATGTGTCGGTAGAAGGTCCGTTCGCATCTAAGTCATGTTTGTTACTTCCTTCCTCGTGGCTCTCTGTCTGGTGTACGAGTGAGGGCAACGAGACATTTCTGGTGCAGGCGATTCTCCAGGTGCCAGAGTTCCCCATGAAAGCACATCCGCTGACAGACAAGTGGTGCGGGCCTCAAAGCTGTTGCATGCCTGCACTTTTCTAAAAACAAGATCCATCAAGATCCCTGATTCTCCACAGGAGGCTGCCGGGCAAATCATGCCGACACGTGACCGAAATTCGAAATCCACGAAGCAGTGACTGCTCCAAATGCTAAACAGATGTATGCTGTACGCATGCATACCAAGTAGATTGTGGCTGTGAGCATACCGGTTGTAACATATTCGGTGCGCGTTCTAGATTCTAGGCGGAGCGCTGTCAAACGTCGGCAGCGGCTTTGCGCAGAGGCATTCCGGATGCAGCTCAGAACGTCCTGCACCGAAATGAGACGACGGATTTTCCTGCAAAGTGGGTTGGCACCTTCAAAGATGAATCAGTTATCCCGTCACGCCATGTGACGGAAAAAGCACCAGCTGCAAAGGCTAGAAAGTTGCAGGGAGAGATCGGACCAGCTGAGATGCCAGTGCTCCAACTGGTGTAGCAGTAGGGAAGCCCTCCTAAAACCATCTGAGCCGTATGACCTAGTCGCAGCGGCTTCCCCGGTTCACAAAACGTGTGTGAAGCAAGGAAGGCTGAGAACCTCTTTCACGGTGCAGGGCCCTGGTGCTCCCTGGTCCTCCTGATCTTTAAAAGGCCCTTCGACTCTCTGAGTGTAAGGTTTAAGAGCTCCGTGAGACTCAAGCTTGATGTCCTTTAAGCCCCCCCCGGCCTCAGCTTCGACAGGTGGACGAGGCACTTGCCAGCGGCCGCCCCAAAGCCGAGTGCTTGAAACTGCACCGCGGTTAAAGTCTAAAGCTTGTGTGTTTGGTCGTTCGCTGCAGCAGGTCAGCAAAGTCAAAGGCAAGTTGGCATTGTAGATATTGGTCAGGGACGGGGCTCCTGTGGTTCTCCTGGCAACCAAGAAATCCAAGTTTGTGGACCTAAGCTTCCAGACTAAGTTCTGTTTCTTGTCGCAGGGGGGCTGTCCGGATGCTCACCCTGGTCATGTGTGTCGCAACAAGATTGCCAGAAATTACAGAGCACTGACATGAACAACCACGGCAGTGCCAATGATAAGCACGAAGCTAAAGCAACTCTGGTAGCGAAGGCTAACTCGAGCATTTGTGCCGATGGCACGCATCAGCATGATTGTGCTGGAGTTTTGCAAAGAAACCAGAACAGCATTTCAGCTGCTAACACCGAGACAGGAGCCCTCCTGGATGAAACCCTAAAGCACTTTATGATTTATGACTTTATGCCATGTCTTCAACATCAGAGTGAAGCTGGGGGGGAAGCTTGGTGGATTCCTCAAGAAACTTACGACTTCGAGCACTTTTTCTGACTCTGCGGCCGAGCCAAAACTCGGATGTGTTTGGGAGTAAGGGCTTACACTGCACAAGGTTCGGGCCCTATATTCCGCCAGATATCTCCGGACCATCCTAGCCGCAAGGCTTCTGGATCTGGCTCGACACCCGCAACATCCTGAAGAGCAGCTGCTTGCAGAACATGGAACGCTATAAGCATGTAAGCATTTGTGGACTATTCTTGCGATAAGGCTGGTCGTCCGGCGGTTTGTGGATTTTGTTCTTTCCACCCACGCCGATACCTGACATGTCTGCTCCCATCTTCCGCTTCGGGTCTTGAGCCCGGGATGACAAGACGAGCCTGAGACCCGAGCCACCAAGCTGACCACGAGCTTTGCAGTTTAGGGATCTGGGGTTTAGAGTCCAGAGCCTCGGGTGTAGATCTGCTAGGGCCGCTGGGGTATCAGACCGTGATCAACAAACTCAGCCTCGACTTTGCCATTCCTGCCCCATGAGGCCTGCCAGCAAGCATCAGTTCGCCTCTCGCGAGGAGGTCGGGCCGGGGATCTGAAGAGAGGCTTTAAGGTTTACCCTACAGTCCCAGAGCCAATGCGCCTCAAACCCTATTCAAACCATTCAGGCCCCAAGTTGGGCTCGGAGGGATCTCAGGCACCCTTGATGAGTTCCGGTCCACTCCGTTTGGAGTCGCATGCGCAGTCAGCGTCCCCGAAGGCACTTCGACCCTGCAGGACTCTGAAAGGTGGTCATCGTCATCATCATCATCATCATCATCATCATCATCATCATCATATATACATATATATACATACATACGTACATACATATATATATATATATATATATATGGTCATAAGATCGAGGACTCAGAGCGTCAGAGTTCGTATGAGAATTGCCAGTAAGCATACTCATGGAAAGACGAGTTTCCGAAAGCGAGGCCTCGGCCGCTGCTGCCTTGGCACGACGGGAGGCCGAGGTCCGAAAAAGCGCCAAGGGCTCCGGGAAGGCCGGTCAGTTTAGGGTTTGGGGTTTAGGGTTTGGGCTTTGGGGTTCAGGGTTTGAGGTTTGGGGTTTGAGGTGTAAGATTTCGGGCCTTTCGCTTTCCTGCATTTATCGACAAAGGGTGATTTATACTTGATCTACCTGTTTCTACATCAAGATAACACCGGTTCCTCCGTATCTGTATCTGTACATTTTATGTGCATGTGCGCATACATGTTTCTATCTATCTGTCTGTCTGTCTGTCTATCTATCTATCTATCTATCTATCTATCTATCCATCTCTCCATCTCTCTGTCTCTCTGTCTGTCTGTCTATATTTCTTTCTTTGTACCTATATGTGTTTATATATATATATACACATATCTATATGTGTATGTATGTAGATAGATAGCTAGATAGATAGATACATCGATAGATAACATATGTGATCACATGAAGCACGGGATGTCTTTCCCTTCGTCCCTGAAGGGCCTCAATGCTGACCTGCCGACTATCAGCAGCAAGCCGGTTCTCGACTTCTCTGAGGCCAAAGCGCAGGCATTCAGGGCATGTAGCCGAGGCTGACTAGAATGATCGAACTGTGGTAGCACCATCAGGTGCTGGCTCGATCATAGGTCCGATACATGCATACATGGAGTAGGGCCACTCCAGGCACACCATGACTCGACCCCCCGTCCCAGCACCTTCTATGCATCTCCTGACATACAAGCTGCTCTTGCGCAACGCCAAACCTACAGGGCCTTACCGACCAGCCCTTCAAGCTGCAGCTGCGTGTGATGCTTGTCCACAAAGTTGGCTTTGTGGTAGGAGGAGCCATTCAGTAAGAAGGATGTTAGTTTGAAGAGACAGTGGTTCCATAGATTGTGTGGCATGGGTTAAGCACTCGACTGGAAGCCCCAGTTTCCAAGCAGGCTTGGAGGGTCACCGGTATCCTCTGCGAGGTCTGGATCATTGGTGGATGCTGAGGGCCACGTGGATGTGGACGTCTCCATGCGATACTTCGAGGTCGGGAGTTTCTACGGCCGTCCCTCCACTCTGCAAGACTCGGGAATCGGGGTCCGCGTTGACTAAGACTAGTCGTCGACAGGTCATTCAAGCAGACTAGTTCCGGCTTGTTGCTCCCTCAAGGCTCCCTAACAAAATGATCCTATTCTAGCCTATAAGGCCCATATATCAGGGTCCCACATCGCATGTGCCAACTTGGTAGCAGGAATGTGATTTTCGCAAAGTGTCGGTCCTTGCTTTGCTGCGTGCTTCCACGAAACAGTGACGCCTGCAACGCCTGCTGCCAGGGTGATGAGCTCACGTTGGTTGGTGACCTCAGAGCTGCCATCGCCCAGAAGACAGGCTGCTTCGCGGAAAAGTGTAGTCTTATGGCTTTCACATCCATGTGTCACTGTTTCCTCCTCCCTCCCCTCCCCCCCTTCCCTTCCCTTCCCTTC